AAATATATAAACTTAGCTCTTCCGTTAAATATCCTGTTTCTGGTTTTTATTGGGTTCAATACTTGTAAAGTATGATTTGGTATTGTAATGTGTTAGGCAGCTAAGTCTGCTAGGATAGGAGAAAACCATGTGCTTTTGATAGCGGCCGCCATGTTACGTTTGCAATGAAACTAGTTGAGTTAAATCTGTTTGTTTGGATACTTTATTGCTCTTGGGATCATTACAGGTATTTTTTACGTAATGATTGGTTCATAGTTCAGCGTGCGTTCATCGAGATATGGAGAACGCGGGAAGTTTGGAATGCACGAAAGATGCGTGCGTGCGCGCGCGCGCGCGCGTGTGTGTGTGTGTGTGTGTGTGTGCGTGTGTGTGTGCGTGTGCGTGAGTGAGTGAGTGAGTGAGTGAGTGAGAGAGCCTATACAGAGTCTGTTTAGGTAGCCCACCTAGAATAGCTTTGCTAACTGCAGGCCACAAAGGCCTTTATTTCTTTAATTTTAAAAAATTAAGTTAAATGTTGTTGTTGTTGTTGTTATAAAGGGCAGAAATTCCCTCTCCTACGCTTCAATGCGTTATTATTATTTTTTTTTTCAGAAAAGTATCATTTCACTATGCTTCAATGACCTTGTCTCAGATTGGTCAAAAATTGACAGGTGAATTCTTACGTGGAAATGAAGTTAAGAGTTGCGAAACGAGATGAAACCAGCATTGATTGTTTTGTTTTCCCTTTCTCTGTGTTCTTTCTTGGGAGTTAAAAAATCCCCTACCAAAGAAGACGAGGCAGATCTTCATCAGCTTGTTCGCTCGTTGCCATGTCTAGTTCAACTTTTTTTGCAGAAGTTTTTCCCGTTTTTTAACTGAAAAATGCTGAAGTCACTCGTGAGAAGAAAATTTTTTTGTCAAGGCATTTGTTTGCTGATGTCACCAGCGTGCACAATGGAAAATTGAAGCACGCTCGCGCTATTGAATTTTATTGCACGAATTTACAAGCTATGTTATAATAACAATTTGTTCGTGCATTAGCATGCGTTTGTTGAGACTTGAAGCACACGGGATGTTTGGAGAGCACGAAAGATGCCTAAGTGCTCTCCAAACTTCCCAAGTGCTTCAAGTCTTGATGAATGCACAGCTAACACATAAACAAATTGTTTTATAACACTTTCAACGCTGTGGTTTATGTATAAAGGGCATTGTTTATTTTGTTTCAGAAAAGTACTTCATTATGCTTCAATGATCTTGTCTCAGATTGGTCCAAAACTGACAGGTGAATTCATGCTTGGAAATGAAGTTAGAGTTGCGAAACGAGATGAAACCAGCGTGGATTGTTTTGTTTTCTCTTTCTCTGGGTTCTTTCTCTGGAGTTAAAAAATCCATTCCCTAAGAAAAAGAAGGCAGATCTTCATCGGATTGTTCACTTTTTGTCATGTCTAGTTTAACATTTTTGCGGAAGTTTTTTCCTTTTTTTTTAATGAAAAATGCTAAATTCACTAATGAGAAAAACTTTTTTTCGCGAGGCATTTCTTTGCTGACGTCATCAATTGAGCTAACCAGGAGGTTGTTGAACAGTATGAAGAATATACATACTGATGTTAGGGTGTAAAGGGGTCAACTAGAGTCTCGCCAATTTTTCCCAACTCTATATGGCCCACAGTTCTGTGGTGTAATTTTTTGATAATAAAGATCTTTTAATTACCAAATCTGTTGAAGCAAGTTAGAGCTGGATACTAGCCTCTTGACTTTATTTCAGTTCATCTAAATCCAAGGACAAAGAATAAAAGGAAAAATGGCTTGTTGAATAATCCATTTGGATGGGAAGCATCTGAACTTCCGTCAGAATACTGTAAACTTGTCTTAAGGGACTTGAAAAAGTAATTTTGGGATCCTTGTGTTCTGATTATACTCAAGAAGCAGACATCANGCCTGGACAATAGTTCCAAATTGACGAATCCTTTCAAAGTACAGTGCAGTATTAATGTACTCAAAGAGTTTAGGAAAATTAGATGCCTTGAAATCTTAACCTCCCTGATTCCAGAGGAAAGAAAATCTACTTAGTCTACAACAAAGAATAAAAAACGTACTGGTACACTTTTATCCTGACCAAAGAGGTATAGATCATTAATACATGGAGTCTTCTTGACAATGTCCAATGCAACTGATACGAGTGAGGGTTAGCATTCTCAAGGGTAATTTATAACAAAATATCTCCTAACTATCCCCACTTTTGTCACAGGAGGTGTAAACCTTTTTAATTTCACAATGAAATAGTGACCAAATTTCACAATGTCACTCGATGGTCATTTGAACAGCTTTACGTGTATGATCTTCCACGGTATTTAACAACTGTTCAATATCATGAATTTGATTTTTCTTCCTCTCTTTCAATGCGTACTTTCCATTCTGAATTCTGGACAGTGCATTTGCCTCGTAAGCCTTGGGAAAGGTCCCGCTTGCAACTTTTACTCGGGCTTCCATGGGAAAGCCCCAGTGTGAAAATACAAGCCGTTTTGGTCGCCAAAAGGGGGGTCATGGTCCCAGGCGTTCCTTGTGTACACCGCGGAAACTGGGGGATAAGAGTGCGAGGAGTAGTGCTATGGTGAGCTCGCTCTTCGTAAACAGCGTAATTTACAGACTGCTGTGATTTGTGAAGACCGCATTGCAAAGATTCCTGTCTTAGAAGCTCATCCCACATGCAAACGCGCACGCTGTTCGTGGTAGGCCCATGCTAATTGATGTCGAGTGTTTTAGGAATGGGCTAGTCGACGAACTTCATTGCTTGAAAGCTAGCCAAATGTGGAAAGTCCATCTATACTAGTTCTCACGAGATAACAAATGAGCCATATGTGGAATCAAACTACGAAAATACTGGCAAAAATGTGATAGCCAATTTAACAGCAAACTATGATGCTGAGACGAACACCTCACTTGCTGAAAAAATAAAGAATGTCCGTGAACATAACTTCGAAGGTGGCGCTAACAGCGAATTGGATAAGGATACTGACAGAGGCAACTTCAATAGTAAGGTTAAATATATAAACCTAGCTCTTCCGTTAAATATCCTGTTTCTGGTTTTTATTGGATTCAATACTTGTAAAGTATGATTTGGTATTGTAATGTATTAGTCCGCTAAGTATGCTAGGATAGGAGAAAACCATGTGCTTTTGATAGCGGCGGCGCGAATTTCCCTTTCGTAAACGGTCGTTGCCATTTGAAACGGTCGATGCCATTTCTCGGAACGGTCGTTGCCATTGAAAACGGTCGATGCCATTTCTCAAACTAGCCGAGCAGACGACAGCCCTCGTGAATAGCTCGTACGCTGTTGGCACGCTCGGACGTCACTTCCGGGCAGTGTTGCTTATAAGATGGCGGAGCAATCCACGTGCGCGAGAGTTGAGCCAGCTGAAACAGAACGAACCCATTCTTCTTGTGCAGAAACAAAAAAAAAATCAGTTAAGAAGCCAACGGGGTGGAACTCCTTTATGCAGTCAGTTGCGGTGAGTTTGTTTTGTATTTCCCGAAATATTCAATCATTTTCAGCCTGGATAAAGTGCTTGTTCAAATAGTCTAAAACATGTTGTTTCCCTTACATCCTTTACATCCGATTACAAGTGATTAAGATTAAGTGATCAGAAATATCAGTGAAAAATAAACCGCATCTAAAATTTTCGTTTATGTCATTAACAAATATCTTATCTGTAAGTGTTGCACTTGTATTCATTATTCTTGTAGGCCTTGAAATTACATTCGATATAAGCTGATATAGTTTCCTCGTACTTTGTATCATTCCACAGCCAGATGTCAAGGAACAACTTGGAAAGGGGGCGGGAATCGGGCAGGTTTCCAAAGTGGTTGGCAATATGTGGAAGAAATTGCCGACAGACAGACGAAAGGTTAGTTATAAACTTCTAACATTGTGAATGTTTGTGTATTAACCCTGCCCCATTTCAGTGGACTGCTGTGTGGTTTACGTGGCTAACTTTGTAAGGACCGAGAGTGTAAATGTTCTCGTCAAACTTTCCAATTAAAAGTATTTTAGGTTATGAATGTTGATCTTGAATCAAGCTGGGACCTCAAGCTCAATGTCAATTTTGTAATATAATGTTCAGACTTGTTATTTTTCCAGACAGAACTCTTAAATATACCTTGGGGATAGCAAGGCCCATTATAATGTACCAATTAATTTAACCTAAATTTTAATTAGAAATAACCTACATGTGGCGGATCCAGGTTTTGAGGAAAGGGGGGGAGGCAAGGGGGTATTATCCTCAAAAAATTATGATAGAGGGTGAACAAAACTGTCTTTGCAATCTAGTTTATATAAAAAATAGGGGGGATCAAAAATACACGATTGTTCCCTAATATATTTCCCCCCTTTTAAAATATCATGCTATGATCTTCATAGGACTGGAAAGATAAAGCACAGAGCTTGAGGGAAGACCTTGATATGGGAATAGCAGAGATAAAAAAATGTCCAACCTGCAGCACCCAGTTCACAAGGGAGAAGGACTTCAAATACCACCAGAAAGGTTGTCATGAGTGCATTTGCGAGGAATGCAATGAATCGTTTGACCATGAGCAAAAGCTAAAGAGGCATAAAGACAAGAAACATAAAGACAGCAACAAGTGTGATCATTGTCAAAAGACTTTTGCAGAGAAACGAAATCTTATAAGACACCAAAAGTCACATGCTTAATTAACCTATCCTGCATTTAGTGATTTTAACTGGAGATGATTTGAAAGGAATATTGGATCAATCTATAATACATAATTGTTTTTGTTTTTAAATTATTATTATCGATTTTTGAAATTAATTGTGGTCATTGCAGCACATGTACATCATGTTACTGTTCAAACCAAATTTTAAATCATTACAATGTTGTGTTAGACTTTAACAAGAAAGAATGAATGAAAACTTATTTACAATTTCAAACCTTCAATCTTTTCAAAGTTTTACGTTTGTACAGCTTAATCTTCAGATAGACCACCCCCCCCCCCACTTTTTGGGTGAAATAACTGGAGGCCCAGGCCTTAATTTACCTGAGTATTAGTTAGCGCCCCATGTGAATCAATGGCTGAATTTTGCTTATAATTTTCCTCAATCAGGATATCAGCAAACAAACCTTCATACCCACAAGGTACTATACGGTTGTATGGCATTGTACCAATTATCTGAACCCATGGAAGAATCCATAAGTTCTGGCACATGTACATCATGTTACTGTTCAAACCAAATTTTAAATCATTACAAATGTTGTGTTAGACTTTAACAGGAAAGAATGAATTAAAACTTATTTACAATGTCAAAACCTCAATCTTTTTAATAACCTTGTTGTTCAGGGGCAGATCCAAGGAGAGAGGTTTTTAATCTAGGCAATTTGCCTTAAGTGAATTTCCCTCTATGTTAAACATTATGCAAACATTCCATTGTTTATTCACTAAGATTTCTCTGTTTTCCTATTTTTTCCTTTGCATGTGCTTTGTCTTGGATTTCATAGTATGGGACCCAGACTTCTTACTACTTTTAGTGTTTGTTTGTACTGCTTTAGCCAAGTCATGGGTGCGCTTCCTCTTGGAGGTTGGTTCTTGTAGTTGTACTGGTCGCCCTTTTGATACAACCTGATGGCTTCCACTACCACACTTTCGTTTTCTGTTGGGCTGGACTCGGATCTTTTTTCCATTTCCGGTTTTTTTCACCTCACTGGACCCGAAAGAAAAAAGAGCGCTTGCCAAATTAGAATGCATAGATCTAGCAGCGGTTAAGGATGTTACCCTTTTTGCAAACCTGATTACACCTTTAGCCAAATTAAGGTCTCTTGAGCTTTGGAGCTTTTGAATTATTTTTTCACAAGAGTTTCTCAACAATTGTTCAGCATTTGCAATGGAATCATCCTCATCATCATCATTGCTCTGAGTTGGTTCAGTGGAATGTTCATCCTCATCATCATTGCTCTGAATTAGTTCAGCAGTTGAGCAGTTTGGCCCTTGTTGTGCTGTTTCCATACTAGTGGATGCCTCTGTTACAAAACCATTAGAACCATCAGTTTGTGATGTTTGTCCAGCATCACTAGAGCGTAATGGCTTATAGCAAGCAACAGGAAGTGTNTCACCGCCTTCTTTAGCACATGTGCCTCACAGTGCACAGCCTCTCACTGGCAGGCGTGCCACTACGGCTCTTGTGATTTGGCAAGAGGTGCGCCCCTACTCTCTAACTCCCCTGGGACTATCTAGTGTACCCGGGAATCCGTTTTGGCCGCGTGGTGATGTGTTTCCTGGAAGTAGCAGGCGTGAGTACAAGGCTCACCCCTTCCTCTTGCACAGCCTCTCACTCTCACGCATGCCATTCCGTCGCCCGTTATTTTCCGGAATTGCGCGTCTATTGCCGATGTTTCCCTGGGTCTAGTGCACCTGGGATTTTATTTTGGAGGCGTTGTCATGCGTTTCGTGGAAGTGACAGGCGTGAGTACAAGGCTTACTACCATCTTTAGCACATGTGTATCATAGTGCACAGACTCTCTCTCGGAGGCGTTCCACCAAGGGTCCCGTGACCTGTAGGAGGTGCGCGCCTACCCTTCAACTCCCCTGGGACTATATAGTGCACGCGAGAATCCATTTTAGCCGCGTGGTGATGTGTTTCGTGGAAGTGGCAGGCGTGAGTTCGAGGCTCACCCCATTCTTTTTGAGAGCCTCCCACTCTCACACGTGCCACTCCGGCGCTCGTAAATTGCAGGAGGTGCGCGCCTACTCCCCGACTCCCCTGGGATTATCTAGTGCACCCGAGAATCCATTTTGCCCGAGTTGTCATGTGTTTGGTGGGAGTAGCAGGAGTAAGCACCGCCTTCTTTAGCATATGTGCCTCACAGTGCACAGCCTCTCACTCGCAGGCGTGCCACTACGGCTCCCGTGATTTGGTAGGAGGTGCGCGCCTACTCACCTTTTCCCCTGGGACTATCTAGTGCACCCGAGAATCATTTTTGGCCGCGTGGTGATGTGTTTCGTGGAAGTAGCAGGCGTGATTACAAGGCTCACCCCTTCCTCTTGCAAAGCCTCTCACTCTCACGCATGTCCCAACTCCTTTGGGACTATCTAGTGCACCCGCAAATAAGTTCTAACCGCGTGGTAATGTGTTTCGTGGAAGTGGCAGCCGTGAGTACAAGACTCACCGCCCTCTTTAGCACAAGTGCCTCACAGTGCAAAGCCTCTCACTGGCAGGCGTGCCACTACGGCTCCCGTGATTTGGCAGGAGGTGCGCGGCTACTCTCCAACTCCCCTGGGACTATCTAGTGCACCCGGGAATCCATTTTAGCCGCGTGGTGATGTGTTTCGTGGAAGTGGCAGGCGTGGTACAAGGCTCACCTCCTTCTTTAGCACATGTGCCTCACAGTGCACAGCCTCACACTGGCAGGCGTGCCACTACGGCTCCCGTGATTTGGCAGGAGGTGCGCGCCTACTCTCCAACTCCCCTGGGACTATCTAGTGCACCCGGGAATCCGTTTTGGCCGCGTGGTGATGTGTTTCGTGGAAGTGGCTCCGCACTCANCTCATGTTTTGGTCTTCCTTATGCTAAATCAACATCCTTGGAATGCAGCATATGGATGAACTGCAGGAATTACATGTATCTCATATGTTATGCATGTTATGTCCCTATGTTTTATGTATTTTTGCTCCAAAGGGGAGGAGCCTAGAAACACTGCCCCCTCCCCCCCCTGCACTGCTTCCCCTATCAAGATAATTTGAATCAGACAGTGGGGGAAAGATAGGAAAATAATGCCCACCCACACATGCCCTCTTGTACCATCAGAGCATTATGCTATTGTGACGGCTAAGAAAAAACACTACTGACCTGTGACTGCTATCTGAAGAGCTTCCAACTTTGAATACATTATTGCCAAAGTTCTCCACAGTTGAGAGGTAGGCATCAAGATCTTTTTTATCGGGGACTTTAAACCCTGTGCTTCCGTTTTTCCCTTTGCCAAAGAAACGATGTCTGTACACGCCATCAAAACTCCCATCAGCAATACTAAGGAGCTTATTCTTGTAGTGATCTTCTAAATCAATAGTCAGCTTGTCTAGAAGCCCAACAACATTGTACTCTTTAGTGCGCTGCAGAATTACATCCTTAAGAACCAAAAACTGAGCCTCAGCAAAATTGTTGGTGTGGTTACCTCTAACAAGCAGTTCAGTTCTAAAGCATAGAGCAAAAGATTCTTTGTCATTGTATAGATTTTGCAAATAGCTGACTAGATCTGGGTATTTCTTGCAACGGCCATCATTCAAAAGTTCACTGAAGCAGTTCTCAAAATCTTGTTTTGTCTCGGCATACAAGGACCTCTTGAAAAGGGTGAGAAAATAGGGTCTATCTGCTTGGCTGATACTGTTCTTGCTCTCGTGAAGCCATCTCCAAAGTTGTTGGAGCATGTGGAAGATGCAAAGAAGTAAAACAGATGTTGGCCAAACAGACTTCAGAGCATTTCTTTCCTCTTTACAGTTGTCTGTAAGGATGGCTTGGGGGCCTTGTTCCCGACCACGATCATTGAATGCATACTCTGGTAAACAGGACCGAAACATTTCAAAGCCCTGTTTAAGTGTACGCTCCTGCTCATCACTGGTGATCAAGATGCCAAGTGGAAGTGCTCCAGACACATTGTTTGTGCACATTAAAAACACTTTAAGATTGTGCTCTTCTGTATTAGAAGTAGCATCAACAAAAACCATCTCACCAGACTGCTGCACTTCCTTGTGTACACGGTTCATGAGAGGTGTTACAATAGCAATTATAAGAGGCGTATTATCACCTTCATATATCTGGTAACAAGTAGTAGCTTCAGGGTTGTCTTTCTTGTATTGTTCAAGCCTTTCGGCAAGTCTTTCAAACATCATAACGCCCTGTCCACCATACCTATCCTTACCAAATTGCGTGTAGAGGTAACTAAAGTCCCTTTTTCTTGGCATAACTGCCCGATTGGCCTTTTTCCTGTGAAATTCCAATTCATCCTGACATGATTCTTTGAGTTCTTTCAAGTACTGTTGCCTTGCGGTTGCTGGTGTATGCCCACTTTCAAACAGCTTCAAAACCCTTTCTGTGCACTCAGGAGAAAGGTCACGGAAATTAGAGGTCTCCAGAGTTTCAAGTGAATGGTTGTGGTCCCACTCTATGTCCACAGAACAACATCCCTCGCTGTCTATTTTGACTATCATCTGAAAGGGGCAATTGGTGTTCTTTACTCTGGCAGATGGATTCAAGTACAATTTCTGCTGTGGATCTTTACTTGGACTCCAGTTGCGAGTGTTGTGTTGGCATCTATAGTAGTTTTGCAACACATAGCCGCTTGTTGGTGCCTTCTTTGTCTTTAACTTCACTGAGATGCTGTTTATCACTTCATATTCGGATATCCATTGCTCCAGGTTTTCTTTCGTTATATCTTCGGTCAAAAAGTGCACTTTGAACTTTTCTCCATTTCCTGAAATTGCCTTCAGGTAGTAAAATGAATCATCTGGAAGCGAAGCCAGAAAACTCTCCTTTGTAATTTGGGTCGATTCAAAAGATTTTCTTTTCGATTCGACTTCTTTTATAGCTGAAGATATTAGATCTTTGAGAAAATTGTCGGGTTTGTCCGCCATTTTGATTTGATAAAAATCGCGATGGTTTGTGGGAAAGCTAGTCTGCATTGCTCTAATTGTCACGCATGTCGTCGGAGAGAGTCGGAAATATCGGTTCCTTCTTGGCATCGACCTTTACGATGGCATCGACCGTCATGAGAAATGGCATCGACCGTTTTCAATGGCAACGACCGTTCCGAGAAATGGCATCGACCGTTTCAAATGGCAACGACCGTTTACGAAAGGGAAATTTGCAAGCGGCTGAAGACCACNGCAGAGACCAACTTTGGGCCCCTGCAGAAACTTTAATCAGGTCAATGGTGACTGTATTCAGATTTTACACACTGGGAAAAATCACTGGGTGTGTGTAGCATCGGTGGGGTGTGGAGATGGCACATTGAATTTATATCACAGTTTATACCATAACATCATTTATAGTGAAGTAGAAGATCAGGTTATTAATCTTGTTGGACAGGCAAATTTTACTAGCATTCAAGTGGTTCCTGTCCAGCAACAGCAAAATGGCAGTGACTGTGGGGTATTTCCTGCTGCCTTTGCAGCTTGCCTAGCCTATGGTATACCTCCCCCAAACTATGCAATTTCATATCAGCAAAATGAGAGCACATCTGTATCACTCCCTAAAGAATGGTCTATTGCAAATGTTTCCAACATTGTAATGACTTAAGATATGAAACTTCTTCTAGAAACAAAGTCGAACACTTTGACTGGTTTGTGGCAAGACTTCCTCTAACATTTATTTATCTTGGAATGAACAGAAAGTTGAATCAACAGTGAATCTTCCCAAGTTGTTCAAATTACAAAAACATAGGGCTAGGTTAGTAAATTTTATGGGAGGAATGGTTTGTTGTCAGCTGAAAAGTTTCAGGAGAATAAGGGATGGATTATTTTCCTCACTTGCACCTTCCTGCCACTTTAAACCTAGCATACTTCCCAATTAAGCTAAATTAAGCCACAGATTTGTTAATTACATAAAGTTGAATTAATGAAGCTTACTCGAAAGGGACAACAGATGGGCAAAGATTAGTCAAAGCTGAGCAAACCCTGATCATCCTGTCAATCAGTGGACAGTCTGCAGCATTGTTAGAACAGGTGAGGTAATCCAATGGTAGAGTTGACTGCAAAATAGTATATTTTTGCCTCAAAACTCCTATGACACGCTCCACATGTATTTGCACCTTGGCAATTCCCCGTGTCCTTTCTACATCGAATGGGTCTAGTTGGTTCTTCCCTTTTGTGAAGGCCGGAGTACCTAACTGTGCTTGGCAGAAAGCAACACTTTCACTAATTGTGAACCCTCTGTCAGCCAACACGAGGTCACCGGGCTTGAGGTTGTTAAGAAAACCACAGCTCTCTGTTAGGTATTTATCAGAAGTCCGTCCTCCCCATGCTTTTGAAGTAAAACATACTGATCCTTGAGGTGTGATTCCAATAAGTACTTTCACTGTATTGCGATGCTTATAACTCGAAAACATCTGTGCTCTCGCAAGCAGATTGGAAGGGCATTCTATACAAATTTCAAAACAGTCTATCATGATTGTTGTTTTCTTCCCGAAAGAAAACTGGAAACACATTGGCATTGTACGCCACAACTCATCTCTTTCTGGCCACCTAATGAGGGGAGATAACCTTACATCCAAAACAGTCATCCATGTTGTAAATTTTCTTGAAACAGTTGAAAGAGAGACCCCAAACCAAAAGGCGAGGTCCTGTAGTGGATTATTCAGTCTTAGTTTGATTAAAACCATAACAAACTCTTGAAATAGTGTCAGTGTTTTGCTCTTTCGACTTACAAGCGGGCTAACAAAACAAAAAGTGGTGTCAAGAACATCAAAACCAGACAAACCAGTGTAAAACCACACCCTATCTTCATTGTTTACACAGTACTCTTCTGTAAAAGGCTGGACGACTGTCTCCTTCCATAAGTATTCAAATTCATCAGTTTGTGTTGCTGCATGAGTTTGGGTTTTTACATTAAATTCTGAGTTCCAGCGTCCACCGTTGTTTGCTCACGATCAAGGGATGCTTCTCTTTCATCATCTATTTCACTGTTGGCTTGCCCAGCATCTGTTGCTCCATCTTGTTGGAGGTTTTCACCCAGCACAAGCTCCTCGGAAAAAGGTATTTCTTCAATAATCTCCCCCGGCTCGTCAATTTTGACCATTTTCTCTGTTATCGTTGTTTCAAGAAACTCAGATTGACGTTGTCGTCTTTCGGCAGCTCTTCGAGACCGAGCTTCTGCTGCCTCAGTCTTTCAATTGTTGTTTAGAATGCCCAAGGCACAAAGTAGGGCTGCAATCCACGTTAAAACAGTCCCAATCTTTGGCAGGTTCTCCTAACATGAAATGCTTGCAACAAGCCCAGTCATTTTCTTAAATAGAGTCAGTAACATCCTCTCAGCTGATGGCAGAAATCCACCTTCTTCGCTCCACAGTCAACTCTTCCTTGTAAGCTCCTTGGTTGACAACAACACGCGGAACACGAAAAGAACTTTTTTTT